AGTGGATGGTCATGCCACAATCCTTTCTCCTCCATTCTCTTCTTGGGATCTTGGGCTTACATGCACATGTGCCCGGTGTGAGTTTTAAACTGCCAGGTCTGGGACTTGAACCACGGTTGACTACATAAGAGTCCAGTGACATAACCATTATACATCTGCTGGTCCTGATCCCCTAGATTTTCTGACTCAGGTCTAAGTGGGGCCCAAGAATTAAAAATAATAATAATAATAAAATAAATAAAGGAAGGGAAGGGAAGGGAAGGGAAGGGAAAAGAAGGAAAGGGAAGGGAAGGGAAAGGGGAAAAGGGGGGAAAGAAGAGTCAAGATGAGGTGGTTCCTGAAGATTCTGATCCAAAAGATATTTATTCAGCTAAACGTCTATTATCATCATTTATCACTATGTACTTCTAATATCATTTATAGATTGAATATCCCTAAACCAAAATACATAGGACTGGAAGTATTTCAGATGCTGGGACCAGCAGATGGTATAATGGTTACGTTGCTGGACTCCCCCATAGTTGACAGCAGTTCAAGTCCCAGACCTGGTGGCTTAAAACTCACGCCCAGGCATGTGTGCATGTGTGCCTAAAATCCCATGAGGAGAATGGAAAAGGAATTGCAGCATGGCCATCCCTTCTGGGGTGTGATTTCTCACTTCCTGTCTTTTTCTCTCTCTGATGAGCACACGTGCCCTATCGCAAAAATCTTTCTCTTAAAAAAAAAAAGGTATTTCAGATATTCTGGAATTTCAGAATATCTGCATATACAGAATGAGACATCTTGGTGAGAGGACCTGAGTTCAAATAGAAAATTAATTTATGTTTCATAAACAACTTGTACACTTAGCTTGAAAATGATTTTTGTGGAATCATACTTTTTATTAGACTGCTTGCTCTTATTAATTGCATTTCAATTCACATTCTGCTTGCTCTGATCTTAAATTATTTAAATTGGAACAAAATTATACTTCACATTTACAGTGGCCTCACTCTCTAATATAGACTTCTAGTGAAAAAGAGGCAGAATGTTGTATTTTTTTTTTTATCCCCTAATTGTCTTTAGGCCCTGCAAGACTCTATTTTGTCCAGGTGGTTGTTTCGAAGCACATTGGTGCTTTCAGAACCTCTTGAAATATTTACAGATAATGAATCTGCAGCCAAAACACTCAATAAACAGCACCTGCACCTGCAGAACTTAGACATTGTCTAAATTTGGAAGTCAGAACTGAAGACTAGTGATTCGAATGTTCTAGGGAATATGACTTTTGGAAGATTTCAGAAATTTGAAGTGAAAACTTGAATCATTTAAAGTCTAACAGCTACAATTCTTCTCATGTAGTCTATTTTTGTCATTTTACTATAGTTATAATTAAACATGTCAGGTTAATAGTCCTTTTTTTTTTTGGAGAGGTTTTTGCTATAGGGTGCATGCGCTCGCCAGAAAGACAGAGAGAGAGATAGACGGACAGTGAGAAATCACCTCCCAGGGGGGATGGCCACGCCACAATCCCTTCGCCTCCATTCTCCTCTTGGGATGCTGGGCACGCATGCACATGCACCTGGTGTGAGTTTAAGCCACCGGGTCCGGGACTCGAATTGCAGTTGGCTACATGGGAGTTCAGAGACATAGCCATTATGCTAACTGCTGGTTCCATCAGGTTACTAGTCTTTTTGGTAACTAAGAGATTTTGTAAACATCACAGATTTGTAGAATTGTGCTCCTAAATTCCTTCGGGGCTGAAAGTAATAGTTCCCCGCACTCAGTACCCAGAAGAGCTAGTCCTCGCTTGTGCTAGCTTCACCTCTCATCCAGTGGTGTGCTGGTAAATGCTTAACTGGTTTGCTAATAATAAATAAACAAAAGCCTGATTTGTAGGATTTCCTGACTTCTACATAAATTATCCTCTATGGCTGATTTAAAGATATCAAAGATTTCACTGCTGGTTTTCAAAATTCCCCCAAATTTAGTAATCTGTTGAATTTATATCAAGCTGCTACAGCAGGACATTCCGAACTCAATCTGTATTATCCCTGGGTTATTAATCCATAATTAAATAAAATTTATCTACATGCCTATGTTTTAAAAAAAGAAAATAGTTTTATACAATACTTTTCTATTGAAACCACCTGCAGTATGACTGCAACCTGCCACATGAGGCCAGATGTGGAATTTCCTACTTACAGCATTATATTTCTGCTAATAAAAAGTTTCAAATTTTGGAGCATTTCAGATCTGGGATGCTCAACGTGTATTAAGCAACAGTGCATGAAGTAATTCTGTGTGTGCATTTATTTATTTGTTTCTTTGAAAGAGACATGCAGAAGGAAGGGGAGACAGAGAAAGAGGGAGCTACCTTCAATAGGGTCTTCCCACTACAATCCACCCCAGCCTTGCCAGCCTAGGTCATTAGATACTGGCTTGGTGTATAAAAGGAGGTGTCAGGACATGGACCAAGAACCTCCCCAAGTGTGCGCAGCTGCTTTAAGGACACACCACCATCTGATCCTATTATAATCTTTTGTTTTGATTCTTTGGTTACTGTTACCACAGACAACATTTAGCTAAGTGGAATTGGAGAAGATCCTATTTCACCACTGTTGCCAGTTGCCTAATGGAAACAAAATATCCAGTGTAAGGAAAAGTTATTTATTTACTGTTTTCCTTTTTTCTCTTTTAATTTGACAGAGAGACACAGAGAAACAGGGTGAGGGAGAAAGTACTCTTCAATGGGGCATGGGGCATGCTATAATTCCTTCTCCATTTTTCTATTTTACAGAGGTTTGTTTTTCAGGACCAGCACATGGCATAATGGTTACATCACGGGATTCCCACATAGTCAACTGTGGTTCGAGCCCTGGACCCAGTGGCTTGAAACTCACACGGGGCGCATGTGTGTGCATGTCCAAGAGCTCAGGAGGAAAAGGGAGGAAAATGGATTGCGATGTGACCATTTCCCCAGGGAGGTGATTTCTTGCTTTCTATCTCTCTTTCTCTCTCTGGCAAGTGCACACACTCTATAGCAAAAAACAAAAACAACAACAAAACAACAACAACAACAAACTCTCAGAAAAAAAAAAGATTAGTTTTTCAACTTGTGGAAGGTAGGATTTTTTTCTTTCTTTCTTTCTTTCTTTCTTTCTTTTTTTTTTTTTTTTTTTGGAGAGGTTTTTGCTATAGGGTACGTGCGCCAGAAAGACAGAGAGAGACAGAGATAAAAAGCGAAAAATCACTCCCCAGGGGGATGGCCACACCGCACTCCCTTCTCCTCAATTTTCCTCCTGGGATCCTGGGCACACACACACACATGCACCCACCGTGAGTTTAAGCCACTGTGTCCGGAACTTGAACCGCGGTCAGCTACATGGGAGTCTAGCAACATAGCCATTACGCTAATTGCTGGTCCTGGAGCTAGGATTTTTAACTACATAGTTGGCCATGAGAGATGTGGCTCCCTTTTCCACTAGGCCACAGACTAGTCTATCCTTTTTCTTTTTTCTTTTTTTTTCTTTTTTAACGACTTCATTTTTCTTCATGAGAATTATTGTTATTATTATTATTTAAATTATTATTAGTTTTTACTTTGCTACAGGACATATGCATTCATCAGAAAGAGAGAGAGAGAAAGTGAGAAAGCAAGACACCGGGTCTGGGACTCAAATCATGGTTGCCCATGTGGAAGTCCAGCACCTTTAACCACCACAGCACCTAATGGCCCCTTAACAAATATTTAAACAATGGATCCTCAGCTGAGATCTTTACTGGGTCTGGCTGCAAGCAGAACTAAAGGTGTTGCCAGGAGCAGCGCAAATAAAGGTGGGGCAAGAAAACAGCTCATCAGGGTTCAATGGAAGACAGGACATACTTTGAGTTGGGGTGTCTTCTGGTAAAACAAGCTAATCGTCTTCCAAATAAGCAACTCATCTCCCCTTGGCCAGGTTTCACATGCCATACACCTAATAGAAACCTAAAAGGTCACCAGGTTGCCAGCACCTTCCCAGTGAAGAGAAAAATGAGCCAGGGGCTGATTGGAAGATCCTAGAATGTTTTTAAGCTTGATGAGAGAGTGTCTTGCATTTCACAAGTTCCACCATATTGCTGAGCAGCTAGAGGGTTTTGGGGGTGCCTTTGGTTTTCCACACAAGAGCAGACTTCAGACTTCCTTCTAACTGGAGGCAGATCCCTGGAAAGAAAATTCCTTAACTTCTCTCTCCATCCCAACTCCCTTCCCATAGGAAGAGAAGTAAAGTAGCCTATTGTTTACTTAAAATTTTCCTTCAAGGGCATTTACTACCTGGTGTTAAGTGTGCTTCCACACTTATCTAGACTCTAGAACCTCTAGCCACACCTCTTTATTAATGTATGTTAGGTTTGTTCATTGGGAGAGAGAGATAGCACGCTGACCAAGGGTCCTGATGCCATGATCCACCCCTAGCTCCAGCCAGTTCTGGATCATGGGCACAAGTGTGCTAGCACACTCAGAGATGTCTCCAGATGTGAGTCTAGGACCATGCCACCTCTCGTGTCAGCCTCAGAAAGTGTAGCATTGTACTACAGTCAATGTGCCACAGTCTGGCCCCATGATTTTGTGCAGTGTCGTTAAATATAATACTAGAGATACAGAGTCTGAAGACAGCTTTAGGAAGACCTGCAATACATTCAAGATAGCGCTAGAACCTTGGCTTTTCTTGGCCAACATTTTTTCCCCTATTGGTTCTTACATATTTCTGGTGTGTATAATTCAATTATTCTAAATTTGAGGATAAAAAGTTAGTCATGACAAACTTTATGACGGCTGGTGAGCAAAATTCACTAAAATAGGAATCACCTATTTTAGTCATATTAAATATAGATTTGCACAACAAAAACAAGTAGCAGGTAGGGAATTCTGCTTAAGAACATGTGATAGACATAAGAACAGTTAACATTAGATATCTTAGATTTTGTCCCTCAAAGAGGAATAAGGTATCTGACTATGATATAAATTTCATTGTTCTTACCTTACTCCAAGATTTTCAAGAAGAGATTCATCGAGAAAGGGCAGTAATGAACCTGTGATTTTATTTTCTATGTCAAGGAAGGAAAAAAGATGAATAAGTTCAATATTTATGATATATACTTTTCGATTTCTTTCCATTTGGATCCAACAGAACATATTCAAGATCAACATTTACCGAACACCCACTATGGGGCAAGTATTACTATTTTTTCTTTAGGTTTTTGCTATAGGGTACATGAGCTCACCAGAGAGAGAGAGAGAGGGAAAGGATGAAATCACACCCTAGGGATATGAGGTGGGGGCATCCATTTGAAATGTACTCAACTTTATAGAGTAGATTTAAATCCCTTCTCCTCCACTTTCCTCCTGGGATCTTGGGCATGCAAGCATATGTGCCCAGAGTGATTTTTAAGCCACTGGGTCCAGGACTTGAACCATGGTCAATCATGTGGAAGTCCAGCACCTTAACCACCACACTACTGGTTGGCCACCCAAGTACTACTTTCTTTTTGGAGAGGTTTTTGCTATACGGTGCATGCACTTGCCAGAAAGACAGAGAGACAGAGAGACGGAAAGTAAGAAATCAAAAAAAAAAAAAAAAGAAAGAAAGAAAAGAGAAAGCGATCGCCCCCCAGGTTAGACGGCCATGCCGCAATCTCTTCTCCTCCATTCTCCTCTCTGGATTTTGGGCACGCATGTACCCATGCCCAGTGTGATTTTAAGCCACCAGGTCTGGGACTCGAACTGTGGTTGACTACTGTGGAGTCCAGCGACATGTCCATTGCACCAACTGCTGGTCCCAGTACTACTTTTTTGATTTGCTACTTTGTAAAGACTTTATCTAAATTAGATAATTAAATTTTTTGGGGGGGAGAGGTTTTGTTTTCTTTCTTTCTTTCTTTTTTTTTTTTTGCAACAGAGCATGTGCACTTGCCAGAAAGACAGAAAGTGAGAAATCACCCCCTGGGGGG